AAGGCAGCCCCCATCTCCGGACCCGCGTGCAGCCGGGCCGGTTTTATTTAACACGGCTGCCACCCGCCCTGGGATTTCAGCTACCTAGGGACGCCACGGGTTTAGCATTCCCTCTAATGACTTTCGTGAAGGTTTAATCAGGGCCTGGATCGGCTCTTGAAAGCAAAAAGCCAGCGAGACAGTTCTCCAGCAAACAGTCTCAAAAAGGATCTGACGCACGGAATCTAAGGCAGACACCCACGTGATTTCTGTTTTGATTCCCTCGGCATCATTAACTAGGGGAAAAAACAGGGAACAATACTCCCCTAATAAATACTCCCCTACTAAAAAAAAAGCCAAGCATGGGAAAAATTCTTTCAACCATCACAACAGAAGTGCATAAAAAGTTCACTCTTGTTCTCTACGTCTCCACTACATGGCACTCTAAAATAAGGACCATTTAGAGAGAAATTTATAACTTACCTTATCAGAAGGTTTGAACGGATTTCCTTGTCCACTTATTCCACCACTGATACTAAAACCAAGGCCAGGATTCTTCTCTATTCTCACACAAAACTAGGTTAAAAAGATACGGCAAGATAAATCAGTGCCAACGTTAAAGCCTCTCGAAGCAACGGCATCTCCTCCTCACGTACCCACTTCACCGCTAACGAGACGAGCTGACCCTCTCGAAAGCTGCAGTGCACAGCACAGTCAAAGGCAGCACAACACTGTTATAAACTGGAAATATTTTCATTATTTTAGGCAGCTGCAATGATTCCATAGCGTTCACAGTGCTGCACGTATTTTTGCATGTATTTCAAAATTCTGTTTTCAAGGAAAAAAAACCCTTTAGACTTGTGAACAAGCAGTTCACGTTAGCCAAATTTTTCACTTCAGCATCAGGATAAATCTGCCAGTGAGGCCTCATCTTGTGCACTTTTGTTTTCCCAGCAGGTGCCACGCGTGCAGCACCCCGGGGCAGACCCAGGGAGCAGCTCCTCCGCAGCCCACGCTGTCAGCACCAGGGCCACAGCCCCTGCGCTCAGCACCGCCCGCGTCCACAAGAGCCTTGCTCCAGGGAACAGTGCTGAGCCTTGAGTCAGGATGACTCTAAATGGCACTGGGTAAGTGAATATGAACCAAAAATGACTTCAGTGCAGCTCAGTGACCGCTCACCGAGCCAGCCGGAGCACGTACTGCGAGCCACGCCAGCCACTGTTTCTGCGTCTCCATGGACTCCAGGGACTTCACACAGGCTGTGACCTGCGTGGCTGCCCAGCACTGACACAAGAGAGAGGTTTACGAACGCCTCCGAGCCTTCTGCTGCGAGCCAGGTGCCGCAGACACTGCGATCGCTAAGGCCAGATATGATGGGGACAGGACCAACTCACGACGAATCACAGAATCACAGAATAATAGGGGTTGGAAGGGACCTCTGTGGGTCATCTAGTCCAACCCTCCTGCCCAAGCAGGGTCACCCAGACCAGGCTGCA